TATATATATATGTATACAGAGTGTCCTATTTCAACTTTCGGGATTTTTTGACCAAGGGATAACTTCGGTTAGCGATAGTGTTTCTAAAAGCGCAAATTGAATATTTTTAGGTTATGTTTACACTTTGAGGAATCAGTCGTGTTCGTACATAGTTGTAAGCTGGATTATTATTATAGTGTTTTGAAAAGCTCTCGAGATAAGCACATCACCCAAGGTCAATCCAATGATACCATCTTATGTCCAAATAATAAAATTTTTATTGAAAACATTTTCTTTCGTATCTTATATTTTACGAGATATTTTAACATGAAAGTTGAAATGGAATATGTGTATGTTACCCTGTACATGTTACCGTCAATTGCACCTCTACTAAAACGGCAGGCATGCAACTATGTTACAATATATACGAAGCGTATTCACTTTATATATATATTGAAACAAAGCGCTCGTTCTGTGTATTCGGCCATTATCGGCAACTGGCTGCGGTGGCCAGCTTCAGAAAGGACCACTTACTATTTTCTTGCCGACAGTATTAGCAGTGTCCAGCGTCTGGTTTGTATTGTCGCTCTTATACTTCTTCGCGACCCGACCCATCCTAACGATATTCATGGACCAAAGGGTAAAACGAAATATCTCTCAGCACAGCTTGTCACTAACTGCGTTTTGTAATGGAATCTCTGTGCTGCGCCGATGATACGTGATATCGATTTTAGTTGGTGCAGGCGCAGTTGCCAGTAATAGTACGGGAGGCCAACCGGGGATTTTGGGATTTACTCGAGCGCGTCAGAATAACATAAGGGGGAAAGCTTGCACCCTAATAAGTATCCCCACCAAATATTAAACCTCTATATAGAGCCAGGGGTCCAGGGGATTAGTAAATAAAAAAAATCGATCGTTCGAAAACTCGAGCGCGTCAGATTAAGGTATGGCGTGTTAATTACATGTAGAAAAGCGTACATTTCAAAAATCTGACGCGCTCGAGATGCGCTCTGGAAATTTTTTTTTTTTCCCCCTTTTTTGACCCCTTCCTACAGCTAACCCCACCACGTAAACCGTCAGATTAATATTTATCCGTTATCAGAAACACATGGGTCGCTTACACTATTAATATCTGACACGCTTCGAGTATTGTATTGTCACTGTTTTGTTTGAAAGCCTGTACACGCTCCCCCACCACTGAAACGGCATACATCATATAACCTTTTTTTCTTTTTAGCATCTAATCTTCACAATCCAATAGGTCCCCACGACGCTCGAGTAAATCCACATTTAGCCTCTCGGCCTCCCGTACTATACATATACAGAGTGTTCTATCAATCTTCACATCAAAATATTTCGTAAAATATAAGATGCGAGGGAAAATGGTTTTAATAACTTTTATTAAAACTTCGAGGGGAACATAAGATGGTACCACCTTGATTTGACCTTGGGTGATGTTAAGGCAAAGTCACTTTGAATTTTTTAATTAAAATCCGTTATTTTTCAGTACATGTTCTTGTAGCTTATCTCGAGAACTTTTCAAAACACTATAATAATGATCTAGCTTACAACTATGTACGAACACGACTGATTCCTCAAAGTGTAAACATAATCTACAAATATTTAATTTGCATTGTTTAGGAACATAAACACTATCGCTGGCCGAAGTTGTCCCAAAAAACCCAGAAAGTTGAAATAGGACACTCTGTATACATATGCGTGCGTGCATGCGTGATGTATTTAATGTGTATTTGAATTATTTAAATAAAAAGATTGAGCAGTTATTTAATATATTTATTATTTTAAAATAAAAAAATTTTCTGACTTATTTCTAATTTAATATTTTGAGTAAGTTTTTGGAATAAAATTAGGTACAACGTTTCATATTATTTAATATTTATTACAAATACGTTTCAAAAAGAAATGGCAAATAGAGCTAAGGTACATACAGAGCTATACCTATCTACACAAGCCATGGTAAGGCTTGTGAGGTGAGCGGTGACTGTTCGCTCTTCACCCGTGTGAAGCTGGCCCCCCAATATTAAAAAATAGATTTTTTCTTCATGCATTCGTTTGCTCATCGTTTGCTCACGAATGCTCAGTTGAAATTTTCGTTTGCTCATCCTTAGTTCAAAAGATTTGTGAGCAAACGATGAGCAAACGAATGCATGAAGAAAAAAATCTTTTTTTTAATTTGATACCAAAACTTAATTTTCTTGTATCTTTTAAACTAAGGGTGAGCAAACGACAATCGATTGATTGTCTGTCTTTGTTTGTCTAACGGATCGATAATCATGGACATAGGGAAGATTCGAACCAAAAAATCATGGACATTACCGACACGATCGTGGACATTGGTTACATAGTTCAATATCCACGTTTTGTGAACATAGAGGCGCTTCAAAATAAAATAACAGCTAAATCCCGGGCACGCTCTCATGCGTGGTCTACAATGGGCAGTAGCAGTAGTGAATGAAAAAAAATATGTATACAAAATGGATAATTTTTTAAATACGCAACTATGTGTTTTCTTTACACCATTTGATTTATCTCATTATTCTGTTCACAAAAGTATTAAGGTACGATAATCAAAAAGTCAACAGTTTACGAATTATTTAACATTTTGTGTCAATATGTATCAAAATAAAGTATAAAATATCTCGAAAACTATTGGTTTTTTGGTATCTCTACCTTCATACTTTTATATGCAAAATAATTAGAGGAATCACGTTATCTAAAAAAAATTACATAATTCCATTTAAAAAAGTGGAGGTGACCTTCATATCTTTTTAGCGCCTCCACCAAAAAAATAATTATTGACATCACATTATGTGCCCCTCGAAACCAAGCAACTTTTGTTTGACACTTTTTCTTCTATTGTCAAAAACAAGCGAGTTATTCAGGTGAATTAATATATTATAATATTAAGATTTTTGAAACTTTTTGTTTCAAATAGTAGATACTCAAAGCAGTTTAGAATTTTATGTGATAAATTTTTGTTTGAAAAACTTTTAGGAAAAGAATTTCCTAATGCTTTCCAAAATGTAGATCCGATTTAGTGTCTGTCATACTCTTTTTCTTTTGTTTCCTTCTTTTGTTAATTATAAAATTTGCTTAGATACCTGACTCTATTATTTCCATATATTGTAAATACATAAATTCTGATGATAATCTAACACGTTATTTTTTCACGCGTGTACTCCAACGCATCGCTCCTTCGTGTCTTAATTCGATTGTTCCGGTCTATCAAGAATCAAGCGTGACGAATGAGAGATAATATGAAATTCACGAGGCGTAAAGGTAGTTCAATTCGCCTCTATTTCGACGGAAGTTCCTGCTTTATAGACACGCAGCCATTACGACTGTATAACGGCGGCTTCTGTTGTTCTTACTGTATGGGTGGACACGTTTAACAATACGGGCACTTGTAATGATGTCACGCACGTGTGTGAGATGCAAAGTTGAACGTAATACCCGTTGCGGAGATAAATCTGGCATAGGATTTTTATTCTACTAAAAAAAATACCTGCTAATAATAGCTCTAACTCTAGAAATATTAAAAAATTAGTGGACGCACTTTCGCAGATATTACTGAAAGTTAAATTGCAGCGATAAAATTTAGCGCTTCTATAAAATATGTATTTAATTAAAGTACTGCCACTTTTTTCAATTATATTCGTATACATACAAACTATCTTAACCCTTAAACTCCACACTAATGGATATACTGGTCTTTATACTAAAAAATTTGAAAGATAAAATTTTACTTACTTTAAGAAAATTATTCCTTTTTGAGACATTCTTCAAACATATTTACTAGTTTTATTTGATTTAATAAATTAGATTAACATGTAAAAAATTTTTTTTTAAACGTTAGATAAAAAATAGATACCAAGTAAATGCATGCATCTTTATTAACTAACAAAAAAAGTTGTAAACAATGGGAAAAGCATTAAAAAAAGAAAGTCGAGTTTGCTATATTATAAAAAAATTAATCTATTATACATGTATATTGGATAATTCTCTTAAATCTTATGCATCTAATTAATTGATATTTCTAGCAAATGTAATATCGATAAATAATTAATAAATTATTGACAAATAACGATTAAAATTGCGTTTGATACATCAAGAAAGCGAATTATTACAGTCAATCGATGGAAGAAATTGTATAATATTATGAAATACTATTATCTACTTTGTATTAAAAGTATCAAATACGGAAGACATCAAAACTGCTTAGGTGCGTTTAATCGATATTTCAATTTTCCGGTCCATTAAAGATTCATATACAATAGACACGAGATGAATCGATAGACTACTATTGATAGAAGATTACACGGAGATTCATAGACGCTCAATGATCGAATATATAATTGAATATTTACATATTTGTCTTATCTTTGCGCCGGATTGTACGGAGAATTAATGACTCGCTCTAATGATCCAATCAACCCGCGAATTCACTATGTCATTCGAAAAATAGAATGCGTTTACGATTAACGAAAGTGACTCATCATGTACAGTGGTCGATGACTGCTGGATAGTTTTGTAAACTGCCATTACGCATAATTTTCGATTGCAACGTTGGCATTTGCAGTCAGCGATTCTCAGTCTTAAGATTTTAAATAGTAATTCAGTGGTAGATAAAACGGCATTCTAACGGTTTTACAATTTTTTGTTGTAATCATAGCATTGAAGAAATCTTATTTGTACATATTATAAATAAATGCGACAAATACGATAAATATGGGACATGTACAAATCTTATTTGTATATGACTCATATTTATCTATCTTTTTAAATTGCACATTTATTGCATAGCTAATTGGAATAAAAAAATATTTTTTGTACTTGACAAAATTAATGAATCTTATTATCATTTAATATGTGAAATGTGAGCACTGTCCTATTAAACATAATTGTTCAATTTTACTGAATATTAGACAGGAAGTAAATATGTAATGTCGCTCCTTGAGAAAAGAGTCAAATTTTATTGGCAAAAACGTTGAGGCACTGGCGGTTCTGTTCTAACTCTAAATTATACAGAATAATGAGTTCTTTTATATTAAGTTGACGCGAATAAATGACGGAATTTATTGTTATATTTTATTTTTAAAGCAGAGAATTTACTCTTAAAATAGAAAATTTATAATTTTTTAACTTTTCATTTAAGCGAAACACCCCACCTTCCCCTTGCCTAAGGGCCTACGACTTTTCACGCGAAACGAGATCCACTTCACCTCCCCTTTGTCTAAGAGTGCACAATTTCCCACGCGTAGCGAAGTCATTATTGTCATGACCTTGATAACATATGTCAAGACCAAGATCATCAAGGAGGTGTTTCCTAAAGCCTAATCTACATTAGTCATATCGTAGCGTCGGCGTCGCAAGCGTCGTAAGCGTTGTGCGACTTTAAATTGACGCATTGGACTGCGTCAATTTTACAACAAAGCTTGCGACCTACGACATCTACGTTACGACCAATATCGATTAGGCTTAATGTAAAGGATGTACAGGTTTACCAAAAGATTTCAACATGGGATCTCCTGATCTTGCGCGTTCGATTACGCTGAATTCTTACAGAACATGGAAAATTGTAAAGTAATTAATATCTGAATCGTTTTATACCATAAACCATCGCATTCTGAAATCATTTTTACTATTATAGATTAATAGTACATAGAAGGAGTATATGATTATTAAAATTTATATGTTATCCAGAATATTCCAGAATGTCTCTTTCCTCCTTAATTAATACGCTCCAAGCGGCCGTGATTACTGAAAAATCATTTTCGGTTTTCAATTTAAGAATTTTAGGGCGATTTTGATTCAATTTTTTGAGAAATCTTCTTTTACACAGATTAATATTTTTAGATCCATTTTATTGCTTCGTTTAAATCGATTCTTAAGACCGAAGATCGATTCTATATGGACTAAGTCAGAGAATTAAGATATATAACTCGTATTCTCTATGTATATGTATTATAAATAAAAAGATAAAATTATGTTTCTTTTCTGAAAAATTATAATTAAGTTATAGTTTATGTATTCTTATAATCTTTTCGAAATTATTAGAATACATATAAATTATTTTTATTTTAATTCTAATACTCAAACTATTGTATTATATTATTATTTAGAATATAAAAATACATAAATTACTACCACTTAATATTAATAATATGTATATGTTAATACACTGTATACACAATTTTTATTAATTGTGTATTGTATTTATGTGTTTTTATTGATTTTTTTATTTATAAATTGTACGTTGCAACTTAATCAAAGGATCGATTCTTTGCCGTCAATTGTTTGAATAATTAATTTTGAAGTTTTCGATCTACATCGATTCGAAAATCAACTTTTTTGAAAAAAATTACCTATCCCTATTTTGTTCACTTGAAAACAAGCAATCAGAAAGAGAGAGAAAAACGGGTTCTCTCTCGCTGTTCCGTTTGCTCTTAGTGCGCCGCCGAAGGCGAGGAGGATGTATAGTCTGTATCGCTGCTTTGCTTGCTCTGCGCCGAAGCTAGCCGAGCGCGATGTCAGTTGGTGGGGCAAAAGTGGTGTGGATGATTTTCTGTAGTGTACGTACGGGAACAAATGTGCATCACTGCTTGGCGGTGACCGTCGACGCCAGACGAGAGTCCGGTGAGTCCGGTTCCTCAGCCCTCTCAGTCGCGGCGGTGGCATCCTACTCGCAACACGCGCCACGGTCGGATTCAAAAAGTGGCTGCCGCCGCCGCCGCTGCCTGCCACCGCGCCGGTTTTTAATTGGATCACATTTCCGGTGTGGGAGAAGGGTGCTCTTATAAACTGTCGCCTATATCTCAGTAAACCTCTTTGTAACTCACGATTGTTCGATCGCGTTTATCAAGCTACAGTGATAATAAAAATCTGATATTAAAAAAGAACCGGCGATTGGCTTTCTTTTCAACGAACAGAGACGCTCCTTTGTTGTCATCTTTTTTGAACTTATTGGTGATTTCTGTTGCGTGTTCCGATACAGGAGTGGATTGCCTTGGAAAAAAGTGGGTGAGAGGAAACCGGTAAAAGAAACACCGTTATTATATCATCAAAATAAAAAGTCATTCGGAGCAAGTCTTCTACGAAAAAGTTTTATCTTTTTTTTTTTTAAGATAATGATATTTTTTCTTTTTTCTTTCTCTCTCTCTCTCTCTCTCTCTCTCCCCCCCCCTCTCTCTCTCAAAAAGACGGCTCTGCTTTAGCATTTAACGAGTTTGCATTGTGATCGATAAGTTGGTATCGAATTAATGATCAGCAATAAGCTGGCTGTGTTCTTTCTGACGAAAGACTCTCGAAACTCGCGTTCGTAGCCTTTGATTTTTAAGTGCGAGTTTAATTGTGTGGTCAGTGGAAGTTTTATGATCGCCCGGAGGGTGAAGCGCACAATACGCGGTATTTTTCGTCGTGAAAGGCAAGAAGTGCACCACGTGCGGACGGAAACGGTGTGTGTGAGTGTGTGTTTGTGTGGCACTGACGAAAGAACGGATTGGTCGAGTGCTGGAAAGTAAGTTTCTCTTTCTAGAGGGAGGTTTATTTTTGTCTCTGATCACACGCACATTTCGCGGAAACGTGAAGGTGACAATTGATTATGATTAAAAACGACATAAAATAAACCATATCTCGATTTATTCTTTCTACCCTCTGAAGAAATCATCATTTCTTCTGCAAAACATTGCGTGCTGCTTTAAATCAATTAATGTTAGTCACGTGCAGATTTATAGTCTTGTCGGTAAAATTAGTTTGCCTTATTATAATATCAACATAATCAACTTTCTTTGCCTATATAATATGATATAATATACAATCAACAATCATCCTTTCAATTTTTCTTGATAGAATATTAAATATTTGCACTTAACAAATTCGACAGAGATTCAATTGTAAGTGATTAAATTATTTCAAAACTTTCTCTGTGGAAGAAAAAAAAATATTTTTTCACATGCTATAAAAATTTTTTTTTCCTTTTGTAATAATACAAGCAGATTTTTGCTTGGCAATAAGAAGATTTGAACGAAAAATGAGAAGTGTGTTGTACATTTTTCAAGAGAACATAATTGCGCGTTTCCGATGTAAAGTATTAAAAAAAGGTGTAGTCTGATTTTTAATAATTTTTGTAACTGAGCACTTGATGTTACAGTCACATCTCCCCCCTTATATTGTCCAATCGCTAGTTTGCTGATGCGGCTCATTCAATCGGCGATTGTGAGCATGTCGATCGCAATGAACTCGCAGGGTTAGTGCACCTTCTCTGATGTGGTTCTTGCATTTAGCGTCGGGTAGAAATTCTATGTCAGAATCTGAACGATTTTGTCAAAACCCTATTATTACATAATCTTAATTAAAGTTATAGAGTGAAACAGTATAAGTTGGAATGAGATAGTATATATACAAAGAAAAATTACATATATCTTTTTCTCTCACGGAATTTTAACAAAAATAAAATTCTATTATAGGGTCTCTAATGTTGAGCAAATCTCGATGCATCCTTTATCGATCATAACGAGTGACAAAAACGTAGAAATATATTTTCGATTAAGTTGTAAATTAAAAGTTTTCAGGACAGCTCGAGAGTTGTCATTCTTCATCACCGATAGGTGATAGGCACTTAAAAGTCGAGTCAAACAGGAGTGGAACTCACATATCAGTACTTTGAGTCACTGGAGAGGAAATATACATCCCCGATAAAATCTCCGATTAATGACGCCTGGAACGCGCACTCACCGTCTAAGGAATTCACTTATACGACGGACTTACGAGCACACACATGATAACATTTTTGGTAAGAATCTTCGATTCCCACGAGGGTCTGCTAGACCATGAAATAAGTTCGTCCGACAAACGGCGAAGCGATTCGCCGTGGTCTCGTGTCGCGAGAGAGTCGATGACTCTTCTACGGTCGTCCTCAGTTTACCGGTCGATCGAGTGATCTCTTTTTCTCTCTCTCTCTCTCTCTCTCTCTCTCTCTCTCTCTCTCTCTCTCTCTCTCTTTCTGTTTCCCGGATCATCTTCTCGATTCGAGTCACGACCGCAACAATCTGGTCGTGGTCGTTGCTAGCGGTCAGCCAAATGATTCCGCGCGTCTCCCTGTCTGTGGGAACAATTAAACGGCATTCCCTTCGTCGAGGAAGCTTCCTCTCCTTCGCTCTCAAAAGTTAACCATGCAGCGACGACGGCTGCGACTTCATCTTGGCGATATGTACTCATGTCATTAATATAAACCGGCATTTCCGCAACCGACTAACCATAACGTGTTTCTAGACACCCGGTCGTTTTATTAAAAGACGCCTTCGAGTATTTTTGGAAACTTCACGCGTTTGTAAAACACGATCTTCCAGAGGATATATATATATTTATATCTTGGAAGATCGTATTTTACAAAATTATATGTGCATATATATATATATATATATATATATATATACAATATAATTATACACATATATAATTTTGTGTTTTGTGTTAAAGTATTTAAAAATTTAGCAAAATATACAGATTTGAAAATAATAATTTTGTTGAAATAATTATATAAAACGTTCAAGTTGTGATTGCTAGAATATCAAATCTTCTTCTAGCATTGCTCATTATGTTTAATTAATTAATTTTACGTAGAACCAATTCACCAGATTACATACATTAAAACGTACAAATAATAAAATCTAATTTGCTATAAAAAAAAATTGATCTCTTGTACCTACAATATATTTTAATACTATTTCATTGAAATTGAAAACCGCAACCGGATAAATATAGAGTTTCACATAACAATCGAAATTCTCATTGAGCAACACATAATTTCTAAAATTTCTCATCTTAGTTCATTGCACAATTTATATGGAAAACATCTTTTAATCTTTTTGTAATTAAATATATATTCTGAAAATTACATATTAAATTAATAAATAAGCTTCCCACTTCGATCCACGAATAAATTTCGGAGCAACTATCGCGTCTACAAACTCGTAATCAAGGTCCCGATGACGCCGCCAATTCGTCTTTACTTCCTCGCTGTTTTTGCAACATTTCGCATAAACCTGTAATTTTTTCATTTTTAAGTCCCGCCTTGACTTAAAACACGATATTTCGTCGTTTCCCTGGTATTAAAGCTATATCCACACAAACTTGAATAGCTGCATAAACGCATGCATAAAGAAAATTATCCAATCGCATTTCCCTTATAAAGATGCATGTAAAATGTGATTGGATAATTTTTTTTATGCATACGTTTATGCGGTTATGCAAGTTTGTGTGGATATATAGCTTAATCGACTAAACCGAGCCAAATGCTTCGAACTAGTGGCATCCTCCGCAACGCCGACTTTTGGCTTAAACCGGTTCTCCCGCCTCTCTTACGCGCTCGTTTGTGCACGTCATTCCGGAGCGTATCCTTTAACGGGACGAATACCGGGATTTCGTGGATTCGAGGAGTCGTGCGTGTAATCGCGATTACATCGTACCGGCTACTCTCACGGACTCTAATCTCGCAGACGCGACGAGTCGACGGAAGTCGTGAGTTTCGGCCTCAACAGCTCTCACATCTGACGCGCGACGCATTTTCTTTTTCTGCATGTGGTAACGGAAGAGCCGCTAGAAAGAGTTAACTGTAATCGATACTCAGTGCGCATCTGCGTTGTCGAAGTTTGTTGAGCGGTTTCATAGATTTAGCTGTTTTTATTTTTGAATCTTTGCAGTATCGATTGGCGATTCCGTATACATTTCTACAAATATAATTTTATTAAAACTAAAGTATTTTTTTTTCGTTAATAGTGTTATTGAATTAACAAAATTATTTTCAATTAAAATAATGCTGTTGACACATTTTTTTTCTGTATGCAATTTTTTTTGTCTTTTTGTAGAAAATACGCGAATTAGGTATCATTTATTAATATATTACAGTTTTTTTTTTAAATATGTTTTATGATACAATTGATAAAAAATCGTGAAGATGCAGCGTGGTTTGCAGACTAAATAAATACATCGTGTTTAATAAAGCAATTAAGATATGTTGACATGTGTGCGATATGCTTTAAAAAAAGATGTAATTGGAAGAGTGATTAATGTATTCTGTGGATGTATAATTTAATAATTACACGAGAAGCGATCTCAGCATAGAGCGTTGAGATGATACGTCGCCCAACCACATTGTGATAGTATTGCGTAAGTTGAGCATATGTAATTGACCTTTGAATGAATTTTTAAGGGAAGAGAGTTACGCGTCTCTTCATCTAATGATTCCACGCGTGATACGTGTGAACGGAAGCAGGCGTACGATAATTTGCCTAGAAATAACCGACGATAACAATCGGCCGCGATCCTATAAATAATGAATTAGTAAACCGCGTATTATTACAAGTTTAATTATCCATTCCGTTATCTTGATTTTGGAAAATTGACCTTCAAATATTCGAGATATTGCCAAAGAACCTAAGTCGCACCAGCAGCGGAAGAGTCGTTATTATTAAAGGGAAATGCCAGAGTGACAGCCGAAAAAAAGGCTCTTTTTGTGAATTGTTTTTGAAAACTAATAGCTTGTATGAATTATTGTTTTTATATATTCGAAGTACATACATTTACGAAATTATTAAAAAAAATTCATTGAATAATATTAATATTTGTAGCTTCAGTACTCATTGATGTGCACCTCGTCTGAAAAAACATGGGTGCACGGGCGCTCGTGCTGCGTCTGAACGGGGGAGCTCTAAAATAAATTTTTTTTATTTTATTTTAAAGTATATGAGTATAGTTTCAGTTGCACGTACGGATTTTTTGATAAAATAATTTTAGACGAAATGGCGCTGTTTTAAAAAAGAGGTCACGATTTTGCGACATAAAATCGTTATTTTTTTAATTGTTTTTTAAAAACTAATAATCCGATTGAAAAGTTCGTACGTGCAACTGAAGACAATTTCGTTGTAAACATTCTGTTTAAAATTTAAGTCATTCAGATAAAAATTTAAATTACGCAGAATTGCAAAATTATATTAATCTTCGTCAGCGATCATTTTTTGAAAAGAAGAAACTTTTAAAAGTTCTTTCACGAGTGATACATGTACCACAATAAAAACTGATAAATTCGCATGCGACCTTCGTAACTCGACGAAATTGCAAAAATTTATCTTAAAAACGCTTCATTATTCAAAACTATATTGTCGATATGCACATATAATGGTTGGTCAGAAACCGGTTTTGCCAAGGGTCGATCCTTTGTCTACGCCGATTTGAAAGAATATAAATTAGAGATAACGATGTAGATGCTATTTAGAAAGGGCGCTCAAAGCAAAAAAAAAGTGATAGGAATCTATCGACTCTTTCATTATATAGCGAAAAGATTAGAATTTCGCTCTTCTTTCAAAAACAGCGTAGAATTTCGTCATTTCTTAACTAAAACGTTCAGCAGAACTTCATCAGCAGTTGTTTGCTGAAAAAACATTTTTACATATTTTCTTAACAAACATTTAATCACGAAGATTTAGTTTGTACTAATTTGAATAGAATGACATCGAAGAAAACGTCATTCGAAGGCATTAATACTACTATTAATTGTTAATTATAAATATACGTAATACTCGCGTGTGTTACGTAATTGCACGCTAATTCACGAACGAAACGTCACATTTTTGGGCATGATTATAAAAATAATAGAACTGGCATGGTTAATTCACTGTGTGTGTGTGTGTAACGGCGTCGGGTTCTCATTTCTCGAGGTCCGCTATATATTTCACAACTTTCTATACACAGAGCTTGCTTTGTTCCCATTTCCGTTATCACAGGTCGCCTGACCAAACATTAGATACCAATCATGCAAAAAGATTTTTCTTGAGTCGGCGTAATGTCCGTCGACCCGTGAATAATTGCAACAACTTATTAAGACCCGGGGCTCTTTCCAACCGGAAAGATACGCTACTTTCTAGATAACCGTAAATTACGCAATACTTAACCATAACCGTAAGATACAGTAAAATTAAAAATTCTATTTTGATAAGATTCTATTTTTCTCAATTATATTTATAATCCGCATACAGAGTGTCTCATTTTAATCAATTAAATGAATTTTCTTCGAAATTATTGGTTTAAATAATTATGTAATTTGCAAATTTTTAATAAAAAACAATAACGTGTTTTTTTTACATCAATTAGTTCATATCATTATTTAGCGCATAAAATATTAAAGTACACAGTTACCAAAAATTAATAGTTTACTAAATATTTTATAATTCCTATCAAAATTTGTCAAAAATTAAAAAGCTCGTGTTATGTAAACAAAATTATGTAATTTTATCTTAAAAAAAAAAGTGAAGATTATCTTCATATCTTTTTAACGCCTAAAAAAACAACGTGACCAAAATACACTCCTCCTTTGAAACCTTTCCACTCTTTTATCTGAAACATTTTTTTATATCATCAATAATTTTGAAAAATTGACAGGATTAATTAAAATGGAATACCCTGTATATATACATATAAATAAAAGTAAACTGTAAAAAAATCATGAATACTAATTGATCTATGCTATGAAGATGGATACAAATCGATGTATACGCTCAAACATCATTCAATATTATAATAAAGTGTTTGTTTCGCAAGTAATGCTTTATTATGAAAAATAAAACATTTGAGTATATAATTGTTGACGTCGTCAATTTCAGTCGGTCATGCTTAGCACGTGTGCGACCTCGTTCTTTAAAGCCGCCGTATAGATGTACATATTAGTTTCGATTTCTTCGTGATTGCTGATTCAATCTCAATTGTTTTACTTTGATTAATTTACTTTGGTTTCAGATTATCAAACGCGCTCACATTCTTACGAGATATTCTTCTGTCGGCGTCGTTCCAAGGCGATGCGATATGGCTTCATTCGACATTTCGAAAGAAAAATTTGACGTGAGATTTGCTGTAAAAATCTGTTTTTATATTTATCTATTAATTAAAGTTATATTGTTAAATACTAACGCATCAAGATTTGTAAAGATCTTATGTAAAAGAGGAATGACTAATCAGTTAAAACAACTTCGCGAAAAGAAACGAAGATCAAACACAGATGAAGTTTATTTTACAAATAACAAGGAACATAAATCAAGGTCCATCTCGTAGAATTCGTTTAAATTTAAAATCTCAAACACGTTTCTGTCCAGACAGGATATCGTTTGTTCCTGCTAGAAGTCTCCCTTCTACGAAAGATTTCTTAGAAAGTAGTATTTTAAGATACAAAGTCTGCAGTATTATTTGATATAAAACTATAATATGTACTTCTCTCTCTCTCTCTCTCTCTCTCTCTCTCTCTCTCTCTCTCTCCCCCCCCCTCTCTCTCCTAATTTATGACAAAATGTAACGGTAAATAATAGTAAAATAATACATTACATGACAAGTTTTAATAAATTATTATATTCATAAATAGAATATAACACTTTTGTTTGAAAAAAAAAAATATATATATTAGCAAAACAGAATTTAAAATTGTAATACATATATGTATAATAGATAAAAATACAATTCTACTTCTAGAGAAATATCTGAATAAAATAACATATATATGAAAAATTTTTAAGACATAAATAATTTTTATTTAAAAAATCCTAAATAACAAAATAATTTTATCCACAGGATGGAATTTTTTACACTATGAAAAAAGGTTCTCTATTCTAATAACGGATACAGCGATGGGATTGGAAGGATATCATCTGACGAGACTGAACCTAATTACTATACCTGAGTTGACGATAGCGGGCACCATGACGAAGATGAATTCGACCGAAGACCCAGGAACCCCTAAAGAGTGCAAATGGGAGAGGTGACGTATCACCCAGTGATGCGTAAGCGGCGTGGAGTGGGCAGCGCCTTTTTGGGCCTCCTCGTGGGCCTGATCCTGGGTTTTCTGATTCTCAGCTACCGTCTGATTGTCTTTAATCAGCAGCAGCAGATCGCCATTTGGACTTCCATGCCCGTTTTTCGATCATCATTAAAAACATCAGCGCAAAACATGCCATGGCTGAAAGATGACGAGCGAATCAACAACTCCACTTCGAATCTGGTGTTTGTGGGCGTAATGACAGCTCAAAAGTATCTGGACACGCGAGCCAAAGCCGTCTACGAGACGTGGGGCAAGGAATTACCCGGTAAAATAGCCTTCTTTTCGTCAGAGTTTTCGACGGTTCCTGAAAACTGTCCAGATTTACCTCTAGTGCCACTTCCACGAGTAGATGACACCTATCCACCGCAAAAAAAGTCCTTTATGATGTTACAATACATGTGGAACAACTTTGGCGATCGTTTCGAATGGTTTTTGAGGGCTGACGATGATGTATACGTGAGGCCAGATCGATTGGAAACGCTGCTGAGGTCTGTCGATTCTCGAAGGGCAATGTACATTGGACAGGCCGGCAGAGGAAACTCGGAGGAGTTCGGACTACTATCGTTAGAGTACGATGAGAACTTCTGCATGGGTGGCCCGGGAGTAGTGCTATCCAGGGAGACGCTTAGGAGGATCGTGCCACACATCAAGTACTGCCTGCGTCATTTGTACACCACGCACGAGGACGTCGAGCTGGGAAGATGCGTAAAAAAGTATGCTGGAATCCCTTGCACTTGGAGCTACGAGGTAATTCCTTTTTGATCATAATATTTATAGAAAAATGACATTAGTGTGATTATATTACAAGAGATCTGAAAACAAATAAAGCTAAAAAGACTAAAGAGAAAAATTTATTTTCTAAATCATTGAAAAATATATTCTTAGGAAATATTTTCAAAGATTACAAAAATCCTTTTTTTTTTTTTTTTTAAATCTGTAATAGTTTGGGAATTATCTTTTTCAAGTCGAGAAATGATTTTTTTTATTTTTAAATAAATAAAATAGATACGAGAGAAATGTTCGAAAGAGTTATTTGTAAAGCTTATTTATTTCTTCTTTTTGAAGAATGCTTACACTTTGCTATCGATTCGTTTGTTTTATCACCGAGAGCAAGAGTATACGTCGTGTAATGGTAACCCTGAACCCAAACGTTTTATCTTATCATAAGCTGATAAAAGTATATGTATACAAGTACATGGTATCTGATTATCAAAATATTATTGTAGGCTGGTCTGCATATTTATCGAAATCACCGTTTTTCTGAGTTTTGAAACGATGACTTATCTTTAACAAAACTTTGTAACTGCGACATTCGGTCTAAAACATCCCGACTATGATGTTAATCTTGAACTTCTTTCATTTTCAACCAATTCGACCCATAATAATTCCGTTATTGTTTATGTTTCGATACGCACCACCAGTACTGAAACATACATATAATGTATAATATGTAACAAAAACTATAGATTTTCATTACTGGTAATGTATGTTGGAACACGGCTATTGTATCGATAGTCACAAAAGATTTTCTTTTGTGTCTTTTCTGCGAATTGTAAGGCCATATTATCGGTTTTATTGTTACTCGCGTGATACTAGAGCTATTCTGGTCGTCCAATTTCTTCCTCTGAGGCTTTAGCACTCGCAGAAACGCATGTACGTGACACGAAACGATTTGTTGATTAACACATACGCAAGGAAGATTAGACGCCGCTAGTTTATCCGACGTGGTACACACTTCTACTTCTGCGCTTCTCAACTCACAATGATCGGACCAGAGCGGCTGTAAACCAACGTGCGAATTATACATCGCACTGAAGCAGTATTTGGCTTTGATCTCGAAATACCATCCTTTCTTTAAAAATTTTGAGAAACTTAATGTTTACACCAGGTCTCTCTCTCTCTTTCTCTCTCTCGATAATGATCTTGTTTTTTTTAGACATCAACAATCATACGTAACTAAATTACGTAGTTAAGTCCAAAAATTTTTGGCTCAAAGATGTAAAAAACATGAAAAAATAAAACAATCATTTTTCCATGTAATTTTAATACGTCTTTTAAAATAATAAATTAGTTTTTCTATACTATTAGAAATAATACCCTTGGATTAAAAATCCTATTACTTAAAAATGTCCCGGCGCATTTTTCTCGCTCCAATCGTTTATTAATAGCTCAATTGTTTCCACATTGAACGATTAGTCATTTCAAAATGTTGAAAGGTTAATTTCCTTTAAACCGGTTAAATCCCAAATTAAATTATGCGTAACTTGATCAGGAATCAGGACGCGATGCTCACATAATAGGCGTACACCCGACACGTCATCGTTGATTTAAATACATGTACCGCGCGCATCTGCATCATGTACGGACACGTCCGTAGCGGATTAGGTTGGAAGGTACAAATGAGGATGTTGGTCGTTGAGTAAAAGTGAATTGTACTGTGCTAACCCAGTGGCCAGATCGAATCATTCTTCTTCATCTTTGCACTCGCAGTCATATTAGACTGTACCGCTTAAGTAACAATTTGTTCACACGAAGTGCTTTAAAGCGCTTCGAATGTCGCGATAATGAAGTTAAATTGATGCGCTAACTCCAAAGCGGATCTAAATAAAAGGATAGATTTTGTATAATAATAAAACAAAAAATTTGTTCAAGAAAGAATCATACATAAATTTTGATATCGCACATGCATATAAATATAAAATAAAAATAAACAATTTTATAATTAATGCTATAAATGAAGCCTGTTTAATTTGCGAAATAAAGCTTTTCAAAACAGACGTATCAACTTCGACATCGTAACGAAGACGAATATTAAGAACGGCGATGATAAATTCGAAGACGTATACATAAGTAAACGTGTTTAACAATTCATTCGTTGATATAATCATTCATTATTCATTCGAAGAGGCGAAAGCGCAATGTACGACCGCGGTGCACTTACGTGGTTGCGTATGGCTTCCGATACACGTTCATATCGCTGCCGCGACGAAAGGTAAAGTGCACGGATGAGGATGTCATTCATTAGGCCCGAACAAATCGTAGCCTGCTGACCCACAGAGCTAGACCATCTATTGTCGTCTTGAAACTCGACGTAAGGTCGAAACACTTAACATACCGTCCCGATGTAACGCCCGCGCAGCATTCGTCATGATCGTCCAATGCGTGCGCGTTTAATACGCACGATTGATTGATCGAGGCATGCATAAGACTCGATAAAGGGTTTACTGATCCCGGCAGTAGGTCACGCCTTTGTTACAACATCTTTCGCCGCGACTATTACGGCGAAGAAACCAATAATGGGGCTGCGATATATGTACTGAGCTTTAATCTTGCGAGATTAGTGGTCTTTAACAATATTGACGAAGTAAAAAGCGTTTGTTTAATCTAAATGGGATTGATAAATTGCTCTGGTATTCCGAGAAATAGATAAATATAAGAGAAAGGAGAGAAAGAGAGAGAGAGAGGTGTTTAGTACCATTCTAAGGCAAGATCTTCTAAAGAATAAAAATAATTAAAGAGAAAAGTAAAAAAACAATATTATACAAATACTAAAATAATACAAAAATATATAAAAATAAAAAAAAATTAAAGATTACCATATAACGCAAAGAAAGAAAATGAAGTATAGTAAAGTAAACAACAAGAATAAATAATAGACAGATAAGGATAGGTATATATATATATATATATATATATATATAATTACTTCACTTTCTTTCATCAAGTCTTTCGAATTGAAAGGCGCTTTTCGAGAAAGCGCAAACGTTTCATAAAATTCTAAGCGTGATAGATTTCTTTACGTAACTGCCAGAGCAAATCACGCGAGCGACTTTTCGAGATATTCGTCATCAAGCGAAGCCGACATAATTCTACGAAATAAGAAACCACCACACCCAGTGTTATAAGTTATAATTAACACCCGCATCGCATTTCGGTCCAGGCGCTCCGAATAGGACGTTCTTAATGGTAATTATTGTAGGTCGTAGTGCGCGCACAGGCAGGAAGTTTGTACTTTAACTCCGCTTCTCTGCCCGCGTACTAATTGCACGTTTGATACGCTTCGCTTGCGCGCGCATTCAGACATATTAATTCGGGATGAATTCATATGTATATTAGGCTGTGCGGAATCGGTAGACGCGATGTTATTGTCGCGTTAATCAAGCGTAAACGCTTGTCTCCCAATTGAATAATTCGTCATGCTTAAATTCATTTTGTCTTGGAAGCAAAACGTTCGAAAATCATGTCATATTTGAATGATTTTACTATTAAATAAAGTCTCATTATTTTTGCTAAATTAAAAAAAAATAAAAAATATGTGCGGAAAGAAGAAAAGATTATTGAAAATAATTGATACGATCGTGCATAAAAAATATAGTTTTACTATACAATATTACTTATCATTGCTCTTGAAATTGACAATACTCATGATATACTACTCATGATGATTCCGCACAGATGCAGTCGATTCTTTATCACAATAGCAGCGGGGCCCAGGCGTTCACCGGAAATCTCAAGAAGAAGGAGGTTCATCGTGCCATTACTTTGCATCCTGTGAAAAGTCCGCCTCACATGTACAGACTCCACAATTATATGAGGGTTGGTATCGCATTACGTATCATAATTACGGTAAACACTACAGTTACGTGAAAAAAACTACTTACCTATCTGTGAACTGTTAAGTAATTTGATAACCGTTACATAGCGAACGAGGTAACGTAAGCGATGCAAGGAATAAATCGCCTCGCGACTTTTACAGGTCATATCTCTGACGTATCATAATTGCCGTTTTGGTGAAAATGTGTTTACTAAAACGTTATCTTTGCAAAAATTATAATGCGCAAAATATTCCATCAGGGATTGCAAATACAAGACCTGCAGCAAGAGAGGATCCGTTTGCACAGAGACATTTACACGATGGCCCAGGTGTTGGGGGTGAGCCTGGAAGCCTTGAAGAGCTACGAAATAGCGGAAGGCATACGTCTCTTTCCGGTCGATCCTAATTCTGAGGATTATCCCGGCGACACGGACATACTGGGTATGATTTCTTACTTCCGTCATTACAAACCGTCGCGCGCCGATATAAGAGCTGAACTTGCGTTGCTTCTTTCCCCTCTTCTCTTTGTATAGACGGTATTTGTAGTCGGTTCTCATATTTAAGACTGTCAAGTACAATCTTAAGATGTCATGAACCAATCAGAAAGCCATATTAGCATCTTAAGATATGTATTACTTAAAACGAGTTTTGAAATAAGAACAGACTGTAAATACTGTCCTATATACACATATAACTTTGCGTTTTCTTATTTTATCTTATTTTTATCTTCTGTTGACAAGAGTAACTCGTGAAAATCATTTAAACTATTATTCTTTAGATTTATTTATATATTTTTATAAAATGATGCGTTTACTCTAATTTGCAATTACGATTTTTTTTTTTATACTAACACTCTCGCGCGTCTTTCTAATAAGTTTCGTTGATCACTTCTCAGGCTCGTAAATTATACATGCATAACTGTTTTTCTAATGAATATTCCGCATTGTTATTTCGCACTCCTTTGTTATGTTCATACATTATCGTTGCTTCCTCTATTTACATTCCTATAATTTCCCCCCAAACCATAAAATATCTTTAGAATGATAATAACCCACATTTTTTGATCGTAAAACTTTTACTGTATATTGCTGTTAAATTAACGCTTCCGCGTTTATTGCGTACTTCCATAAACAACTACGCCGCGGTTATCTGTCACCTTAATGCATGGCTTGCATCGACGTGCCATTATCGGGACAACATGTCAAATTATATTCCAAAGGGATTGTAATTCTATTTGAAATTGAATACGCAATCTCAGAAACGCAAGAATCATAACGCGTAACGTTGCGTCGTCGCATAGTTGCTCGTATTATATTTCATCAACAACGTTTCGTTTGCAGATCTAAATTCCATGAGAAATACATTAAGAGATAAAAGAGATCTGTATAAATTTCAATATTGGTAAAAACTTATTTCGTGATCTTATCAATTTTTGATCTTTGAAGAATTAACCTTGAAATTGTTAATCTTTTACCCTTTTACAGAACTTTCAAAAAAATAAAAATAAATGAATAAATAATTTTTACAAAAAAAAAATACTAAAATAATTTTTTCGCGCTTGATATTTATTTGTTAAATGATAAGAGTATGTTAAAATTAGAAAATAATAAAAGAAAGTTCAAAGATTTATTATAAAAAGAAATCTTTATTTACTTAAAATTTGTAACAAAAAACATAAATCTCTTTAAATCTGTTGTAATTTAATGTTTTCTTGTAATAATATTTCGCCCATAAAAATGTCTCGATTAGACGATTTTAAAAATTAATATTATTTAGTTTGATTGTTCAATATGAGTTAATGAATTTAGCAGGATTGGAACTAAGCGTATGTTTCGATATATTTATCAAATGTAAATAATTGAGAAAGCCTCTCTATTTTTATTCCAACCATTCGATTTTCCACACTTCCAGATTTAGCGATTGCCATATTATCGCGTTGATAATATATACCTAACTTAATATAAAAAAAAAACTCATATAATATATAATTTATATACATGAGTTCGTTGCAATAAATTTGAATTAACTGACGGAAAACTAAGTCGGGCATAGTTTGCCAATAAAAAACTACAATCGAGATCACGGTTCACGGAACATTGAGATCTTAGAGGAAATTACCACATTTACTTGCTTCCTCCAATTAATTTTCTGTCATTTTTGTAACGCTTGGTACAAAGAAATGCAATTTTTGTATCGAATATGTCGTGCGACGTAGTCATGGATTAGCAACAATGCACAGTGTGATTAATCACAAAAGCTTGATGTTTATACATTTTCTTTTATTTCCAAACTACTGAATGAAATTATATTAAGTTTTTATAATTCCAAGTCGTAAATATAATTTCCAATACTGTCTTAAAAATTGACTCAATAAAATTATAACAATAATTTATACTCTAATATTGAATTTTTAATTTACGTATTAATATGTTTTTTTTTTTACTAGCATATTCCATGCGCATTGATCCTTTTATTTTTTTCGAAATATCAGACATTAATTAAATTATACAATGAATCGTATAATTTGTTTTTAATATTTGTTAAACACTGCAAAATGATTTATTTCATTTATCTCTTCATTTATATTTTAATTTTCAAATTGTTTGAATTTTAAGGTGTTTTTGATCTCGAATTTGCGAAGTATTCTTAAGAAGTTTTGACGTTCGGTGTTAATTACAGAAAAACCGGTTGCATTCATTAATTTGCTGAATAAACTCTTGTTTGTGCAGGTGTGCCGGCGAGTCTTCGTTCGTTCAAACCAGCTACGAGTGACGAAGTGATCCCGTGGGACTTTCTCTTGAAATTGGAATACAGTTTGACCGATTCTAATCCCAGGCGACGTATTCATAGCGACATCAAAGAAGGTCTAGAAGATATTACGAGAGAGGTCATGGCTTCCATTAATTCCTATTCAAGGCAACGGGGTCGCGTAGTTGAAGAACGGTCTGCTCTTTATGGATACAGGAGGGTAAATTCTTACGGAGCTGATACAATATTAGATCTTCTGTTGGTCTATCGAAAGTACCGAGGCAGGAAGATCACTCTTCCCGTTCGAAGACACGTTTATCTCCATCAACATTTTACTGGTACGACTACTATGCTTTTTACATTGATATAGTACATATATGTATGTAACAGTGTGTTAACTCAATCAGTATATTTATACTGTAGTCTGCAGTAGTAAGTGTATATACATTTATTAAAGTAAACATTTTGACTGTGATATATATAGAATGAAATTATTATACCAAAAATTAATTGATCTTTTGATATCCATGAGACATATTTTTTTATCTCTTAAATAATGTTATTATTATAATAGTATACGTATAAGTGTTAAACAAAATATGAACATCCTTTAATGTTTAAATAATTAAATTATCAGAGAACATTTGTTTTGAAACACAAAATTATAATTGTTCTGCTGAAAATATAACATAAGCTATTAATAATTTATCGAATTATGATTTTATGCATACACAACCATTTTAATTAAAATGAAAGATTTTATTAGGTTCTAGCATAATTGATAAAATTTATGATAATAAATAAAGAAATATTATTGAAATAGTCTCTATTAAGTACTATCTTAAATTTAATAGACATTAAATGTTCTCGTAGGATTAGAGATGCGCGAAACAATAAATGGTGTCGAAGTTCAACCTCGACAGAAATCAGACAACAAATCTATTCGTAATTTATTCCACGGTGGCTTCCTGAATTTCAATTTCAACTCTCAAGAGGAAGATCCGGTGCAAAGCAAGATCATCAATTTTATCCTACCTCTGTCAGGCCGTTACGAGGTCTTCCAAAGGTTTCTTCAGAACTACGAGGATGTCTGCTTGACTAGCGGCGAAAAGACATCACTGCTCGTTGTACTCTATCAGCACAAAAGTGAGAACACTTTCAACAAAACAATAGATCTGGTTGAACAGCTCAAATACAAATATCGCAGTGCTAGCATAGAGCTTCTACTGGTCTCCGGGGACTTTTCGAGAGCTCGAGCTCTGGACTTGGGTACATCAAAGTTGCAGGCCGATGATCTAATGCTGTTCATCGACGTGGACGTCGTATTTACGAGCTCGGCACTGAACAGAATACGCTTGAACACGCTACTAGGGCGAAGAATATATTTTCCGATTGTCTTCAGTCAATATGATCCTAAAGTCGTTTACAGCGACGCCAAGAAGCTAGACAAATTCATTATAAACGAGATCTCCGGACACTGGAGACAGTATGGTTTCGGAATAGTTTCGCTGTATAAGTATGACTACCGTACTGTGGGCGGTTTGGATCTCTCGATTCAAGGCTGGGGCAAGGAAGACGTCGAATTCTTCGAGAAAGCAGTCAAGTCAGGTCTTGATATCTTCAGGGCGGCCGACAGGCACCTGGTGCATGTATATCATGAGATAGAGTGCAGCAGAGAGCTCTCCAGTCTCCAATTTTCCATGTGCATGGGATCCAAGGCTGATACGTACGCCGGAGTCGAAACTTTGGCCAATATGATTTACAGTAATCCGAACATACTGCGTTTCGCCAAAGAGAGGAGACAGAAGAAAACGAACCCTGCTGGTTAATGGATCTACCAAATTGGAATTATCGGCTGTTGAATACAATTTTATTAGAAATCGTAAGGAAAATTGTAAAAATATTTTTCTCGTTACACACTCGCCTCGATAATAGCTTCAGTCACGCGAATGTAACATTAAAGGGAATAATACTGAATCATGACTTTTCGGGTGCCAGAGTATCTCGTTAGTCGTAGTGTTTGTGTAAATATGGAGTATGTCTGAGTCATGAAAGCAAATAAAAAATCAATATTGATATTTTATTGTATAACGAAATGTATATATCGAAGCTTTAATCGAGAAAACAATTTTTAAAAGTTTGATCAAAAAACATGGTGTCACAATTTTCGAAAAAAATAGATAGAAAATAGATAGATCTGGCGATCGATAAAGATCACCAAAGTCATTGCAAGCATCCGCGGTAAAAAAATATTCATAATATCTCATAAAATTTCTTATATTTAAATTTATAACGATTTCTAAAAAAAATATTTTTAAATTCGTCCAATTTTATAAATTTTCTTCAAAAATACTAGAATAAAAAATCTTAAAATATTTCAGAATTCACGTACATAAAGAAAAGATGTAACTTCTTCAATATTCTTAAAAGTATTTCAAATCAAATAATTTGAAAAATTATCTAAAAAATCAAATATATTATATGAAATTTATATAAAAATTCTAAAATCATACAAAGAATTTTAAGAAAAATTTTTACGAAAAATTCAAATAAAATTGTTAAGAAAATATGTATAATATAGTTCTCGTCATTAGTTTATATGGTGATATTATCTTCTACGCCTAATGATCTTTTCTTTTAACTTTCTTGAGGCTAAGAATAAATACATGTCGTTCTCTTTTACAAAAAAATTGCCGACAGTTCTATAAAAATCACGCGAGCATAACGACAAGCATTTATAAAATCGTCAGCTTAGGTAGTAAATTTGTTATAAGTTATAAAAGTGTTATAAGTAAATGTGATATTATCGTGCCTTTAAAATATTTCTTCACGATTTTATGTATACTGCCAAATGTAAACACATCGTTACAAGTATTTCGACATAGACGTAGATATTTCTAAATTGTCGCATTATGCGCTTTGCATTTTATATTATACATTTATACGTAAAAAGTTTTGTCTGCAATAATTGGAATATATATATAATACTCACGCTTTATTGAATAAAATTATTATGTTAAGTAATAACATCTCATTTTTAATATTCGTCATACTTAAATATAAAATATAAGTACATACACAAAAACAAACCTTGAAAAATCTTTCTTGGATGTCATTGTTTTAAACGAAATAGCTATTTAATTATTTGAAGTAAACAATACAAAATATTTATATAAAACATTATCAAAACAATATTTATATTTATTTATTAATTTACTTCACATAATCAATTTATTTATTAAAGTATCATATAAAAACATTTAATTAATTTATTCTCTAAACGTTTTAAATATATTTTGAGCATTTTTCAGTTTTATTTACTTTTTATCTTTGTAAATTAAAATATACAAAAAATAACATTTTTCATATCTCAATATAACTGTTTATTTTGATACGATTATAATTATTTTAATTGACACAATTCCGTAGCCTTCATTATTATTTACAAATATTTTATTACTATAAGTCCTAAACAAGTCTTTCTGGATATGTATAAAATCGCGAAATTACTTAATTTTGTTTGGTGTCAATATATCATTGTAACTTTCTTATCAATATTTAAAGTGTATTATGGTATTAAAAAGTCAATCATTCATGGAATTCGATTTAAATAGATTGCAGTTTCTGGGAAACTCTGTAATCTGAAGCGCAAAGCGGGTCAAACTTTAGTTAAAAATAACTGCTGCGTTATGAGAATCGAAGAAATAAATCGATTTAATAACTCGTGCTACATGTGATAACTTATTGAACTTTCGACTTATCAAAAGCAAGACAAATATTGTATAATTAGAAATGCAGCAGATAATTTGTAATATACATTTTGTTTGACGATAGATATAATAACAAAATATTACTTTGTGGAAGAGTCACGCGATGTTTCCTTGTGCATTGCATCACGAGTTTTCAGAACTGACATTGTTATTAAAGTGTAGGTAACAAATATTATATAATAATACTTATTATATCACGGCGTGAAATAAAATCTTCTGCTAAGTGTTAATTATATTAGAATGACGTATCTGATCATTTCGTGGTATTATACAAATTATACATATGTACAGCGGTGACTGTTTTTTTCCAAGTTGTTAAAATATAATATATCGCATTGATTAATGATATTGTAATATAAAATTAGAAAATATTTCTTCCCTTTATTTGATAAATTTTATAATTGATAAAAAAATATGAAATATCTTATTTCACGTTCTTATGTCTTACACTTTTAATTTTTATGGGTTGTAAAATAAGTCTCTTTATGAGTATGTACCTTTACCGGTGATTTTTTTTTCATGATCTAAGGACCTCAAGGCTTCTATAAACATATAGGGAATTTCACTGAGAAGAGACTGCGTTATCTTTATCGAAGAGGTCAACAGCTTAAGAATGTATATTAGATACATTCTGTTTGTCTTACAATTAGAGAGTATTAATAATTTCTTTCAGGAAAAAGAAAACATTCATATTGAATATGAAATTTCCCAATATCTAAAAAATTAGAATTTGGATTTGGCCATGATTATACGAATACATTTTTATCTATTTCAATTCCTTGAGAATTGAAATAAATAGAAATGGATTTTTTTGCATGGTCATGCCAAAATTTTGATTTTTTGAGTACTAACTCTACTTGTGTGTATGTGTGTGTGTGTGTGTGTGTGTGTGTGAGAAGCCATCTGCAAAACAGGCCAAACAGCAAAATCGCGATGATGCGTAAAAGCAAAAAGAGATGGTCTTATCGGCTTGAATCTCATTACGGCGTGGGTAGATAATAGCGTATATCGCTCAAGCTCAAGGTCATTTTAATCGTCTGTGGCATTAGTAGCAGACGACGCATTTATAAGACAGAGTAAGTCCACATGACTCCTCAGTACGATCGTTGTCAACATCTTGAACCATATTGCGCTTCGGGAAGAAAACGTGTGAGGTCATCAATTTACCTCAGTTTCAAAGAGAAAAGTGATTAAACATATTCTGAGTAGTCAGTATATATTTATATTACTCGAGTTTAATTCTTTATTAGAAGCGGTAACGACAAACAACGATCAAAATTATTAAAGTTCTGAATTACATAGAAAAATAAAAATAAAAATATTATTATGAATTTTTAATATATCTTCTTAAACATTTATTGCAAAAGTCTACCTACAAAATTATTAAGTATTGAGGCTTAAACATCATTGGATTATATTCAACAGAGAGAGTTGAATTATTTTTCAAAGAACAAAACTACGGTAGGATTATTTGCAAGTTAGTTGCTCGATTTATCACAGCAATCGATCAATTAGTGATTCAAGTGATCGAGAAAGACAACTTGTATATATTTACCAAGTAGTTTCGGCGAACATTCATTCATATTAAAGAATGAAGGGATCGTTGGTGATCCTATTCGTTTTGACGATTGTAATCGTCCATTCGTCGGTGGAAGGAAAGATATTCGGACGATGCGAAGCTGTAAAAGAGCTACAGAAAGCTAGAATCAGTAGGTCCTTCTTAAGCAACTGGGTCTGTCTGATGGAAAGCGAAAGTGGAATGAACACCGCGCTGATGACTGGTCCAAAAACAGCCTCCAGCTATTCTTATGGTATTCTTCAGATCAACAGTGCCAAGTGGTGTGCCAGAGGACGTGCAGGTGGCAACTGCAGTAAGCGCTGCGAAGACTTCCTGAGCGACGATATACAGGACGATATTGCGTGTGCCAAGAAAGTCTTCGATCAGGACGGATTCAAGGCTTGGGATGGATGGATGAAAAAGTGCAAGAACAAACCGCTACCAGACATCTCAAACTGTATACGTAGGAGAAGAATGGCCGAGATCGAGATCGATCCGATTTTGTGATAATAGAATGATTGTAACGCTGTTGGACACATTGACTGCAATCGATACGAGGCTTGAATAAATTTTGCTTTTAATTATCTTGCTTCTATAAAGTCTTTGCATCACTTGTAATCTTTCACGCGAATTAAATCTTAGAAATTTATGTAATCGATTCCATCAAATTGTATGCCAATAGATTACATATTTGATAGCACATTTTCTATTAAAAGATCTCTTTAAGTGCGCACCCAAAGAACGCTTTTAAAACAAAATTCGTTGGTATGTTTTATAAATATGGATCTAAACTGATTAGATTGGCATTACTTATGACGCGTTACGTCTAAAACCCACGCTGGTCGGCTTCACAAACAACACTACACGAAGCTGATTTAGAAATTCCAACTGTTAGAATTACAAAACTGTACGTAATGAGATTTCGCCGATATCTTTCCAATTTCATTTTTATAAGACGTTACCTTTGCTTCCAAGTTTATGCGTGAAATAAAATGTTTTCTGATAAGCATTAATTACAACATATTAGAAAGCTGCAGTCAATCGTTTTGCGCTAAATAAACGTTTATTTAAAAAAAATGATAAAAAATATGTGCCGAAAGTACATATACACTCATCAAAATAGTTATTAAATAATTATTGTGTAAAACATAATACTTAATCTATCTATCTTTATAAAAGTAGTGACAGGTTAAAATAACGTTTGCACAATATAACTATTCGATCCTTATTTTGATAATCGCGAATATTTAGTGCGAATATCGTATGTCTTGATATCTACTGGCTGTAGCGATAGCCTTTTCCCCACAAACTTATAAAAAGTAATACATTGCATTAATTAATAATATTAGTATAAAAAATTAGGAATTATTCCTCCTCCTTTTTTTCTGACAAATGTAACTTATGCTATAACAAGAAATAAAATATTGCATGCATTATTTGATGTCCTATTCGTATTTTTTATAGTTTTAATCGTTATGGGTTGTATAATGAGTTTCTTTATAAGCTGTCTTTATTCATCAATTGCCTTCATAATCTAAAGAATCCAAGAATTCTAAGCAATGTATATAAAATTTCACTGAGAAGGGAGTAGAACTGTGTTGTTTTTATCGTAGAGGTTAATAGCACCGGAACACATCTTCGATTCTATTATCTTATGTTTGTTTTAGAAAGCGTTAATGTGCTCTTCAAGAATGTCAGTGTCAGATACAAAATTCTTGTGAAAGCCATGAGATATCTACATTAATAAACTGAGGTGGGGCGAGATCGTGATGCAACTCGCAACTGCGGAAAGCGAAAAGCGAAATGACGGTTTTATCGCGGCTTGCATTTTTTATTATTAGCGTTAGTAAATAGCGTATATCGCTCAAGCTCAAGGTCATCTGCGATCATCCGCGATATTAGTGGCAGACATCGCATTTATAAGACGGATTTCCGCGTGAATCCTCAGTGTAATCGTTGACAACACCTTGTGTCACATTATGTATCGGAAGAAAAATGTGAAATTAATTTGTTTCAAGTTTGCAAATAGAGAAGCGGATAATTACATAACTCTTTATCAGAAACGTTAACGACAAACGAAGTTCCGATTAAAGTGCTGATTTATTAATAGAAATGTCAGACAGTGAAGAATATTTTCATCAATTTTTAATATCTTCCTAAATATGAATGTAAAAGTCTGTTTATAAGATTGCAAAGTATCGACATAAAGCAGCCGATGGATTACTTCATCTTGCAAGCTGATTGCTCGAACAATCGTTCAGTTAGTCATTCCAGCAAGACGATTTTAATACTTGCCAAATAGTCTTGGCGAATATTTATTCAAAAAAAATGATAAGCTCGTGGATGATCCTATTCGTTCTGACGATCGTAACTGTGCATTCACCGGTGGACGGAAAGATATACACACAATGCGAGGCAGCAAGGCAGTTAGTGATAGCTAGAATCAGTAGGACCTTCATCAGTAACTGGGTCTGCCTGATGCAATACGAAAGTGGTATGAACACGCATTTGGTAACTGGTCCAAAAACAGGTTCGAGCTATTCTTACGGTATCCTTCAGATCAACAGTGCCCAGTGGTGCACCAGAGGACATAAAGGTGGGGTCTGCAATAAGCGCTGCGAGGACTACTTGAGTGATGATATACAGGAAGACATCGTGTGCGCCAAGAAGATCTTCGATCAGCACGGATTCAAGGCTTGGGAAGGATGGGTCAAGAATTGTAAGAATAAACCACTGCCGAATCTCGCACATTGCTTCCGGCGGAAAAGAATGGCGACCGAGATCAAGACTGATCAGATTCTGTGATGATTTGTGTGATCAGTGATGGAGACTTTTGACTTTTCTAAGAGTGTGGAAAATCATTAAAAAATTTTCGAAATTTGTCAAAAATTTATAATTTTTGTTTAATACCCCGAATTCTCAGTGTGGAATTCAACACCTACAGGAGATCTAAGTGTGGAGAATTCCACATCCTCCATAAGGAAGTCTCCGTCTACGTGGATTGTGTAATACTGTTTGACACATTGACTGTAATCGATACAATACTGAAATTAATTTCGCTTTTAATTTCACTGCTTGTAATCTCTCTGTCACGAATTAAATTTTTACTAACATTTAACTTACATAATCGATTCCGTCAGACAATTTCAACAGATTGCATATCTCATTCCATTAAAGGATTCTTCTAATTGCGCGCATCGTACCTGTTGAACGTAATAAAAACGAAGTACGCTGTATGTTTTATAAATATGGATCTAAATCGATTGGATCAACGCCATTTATGACGTAATGCTTTACAGCCATATCTTAAACCCATGTTGCACAGCTTGACAGACTATGCGAAATGGTTTAGAAATTCCAACTGTTAGAATCGCAAAACTGTACGTGATGAGATTTCGCTGATGTCTTCCCGATTTCATCCCTTTATATTCATGTTACGTGTACGGCATTCAAGAAGATCGTTTTTGCTCCCAAGTACGAGTGTCATATTTACGACATTCAGAAATAAGATGGACAAGCCTTATGTAACTAATATCTCTGTGTTGAAGTAAAGAAGCAAGTTTTACATATTTCTTAAAGAGAAGGATGTATACAGAAATTTCACAATAGCCAATAATTTTGTGTTGTAAATATTGATTGCTAAATAATGTAAATTTTATGCCAAAAATAGTATACAAATATAAATTTTCTTTTAATACATTTTTAATTTAACTGTTCCTTATATTATTAAACTATTTCTATATTATTATAATTATTGTATGTAAAATCTTTTAAAATATAAAAGTAATATTATGTCTGTAATTATAAGTTAATACTATATGAAATTAGCTTAATATTATTTATATTGAAATACATAATTATATTATGAAAAAATAACAAGATAATGATTAAAATTATATAATGAAATAAAAATGTATTATGAAATAATAAAATAAATAAGAATATATATTATATATATTTGTTAATTTACTGTTCCGAAAATTGTTACAAAAGGTTAATATGTGTGTATATCATTTTTTATTTAAATATTTCTAAAAAAATAGAATTTTTTAAATTTTTCATAATTTGGAGTTTTTAGTTAAAAATTATTAAAAAATTATTTTGTAATAATTAGAAGTAGTACTTAATCCTTTTATGTAAAATTTACTTATTTATTTATAAATTTATTCTAAGAATGAAGCAGAAATTAGAAATAATTCTAATAATTTCGAAGTCATGCGATAAAATTCAAGTGATTAATTAAACAAGCAACTGTATGCGAATTTTGCGAATACAATCGAGATATTGCGAGAAAATACAGCTGCACTGAGATTCAAATTTCAAAGAAGTAATATCAGTTTTCAAGGCCGCAGTTAGATATAAAAATTCAGCGAATTATTCTGATCTTTACGTAATGCGTGTCGCATGTTCCTTTGATTAGTTCCTCTTCTGAATTTGATATCAAGGTCAGTGACAGTTTCCGATTTCTCGATTTCTTATGAAATGTTACATGTCTGTAATATCTCGTTTATTTCTATTTATATGAAACAAATTTTGTGTTCCAGGTATTTTCGGACGGCTTTATAACGACGTCTAAGTCGTCAAATTTTATTTTATAAAACAGTGCAATAAATACATAATTTTAATAAAAAATATAAAAACGAAATTTTAATGGAAAATATGATTCTAATAAAGGAACAGCTTATCTTCTAAAATTCTAGGAAGAAAGCGTTCTTCCTAGAATTAATAATTCTAGGAAGAGCGTTCTCTTCTGATGAAATACAATATTTCGTATTTCGAGGCATATTACGAATCGGAGAAAATTGCGATTACGATCTAAGCGGACAGAGAATAAACTTTCTTAAGCATTCAGGATTCCCTCCCGCGTTTCTCTCTTTCTCTCTCGAAAATCAATTGAATCATCTCTGCTTAGATTTGTACGTATGATGCATACGAACCGCGAGATAGTGAATGCATGACTCTGTGTGTATACACGTTGTTGTGTGTGAATTGCATAACGGAGCATTTGAGGAGTGAAATATTCGAAGTCGATGTCTATATAATCTAATCTAAGATGTCCCGTAGAGAGAATTTTGATGAAATAAACGCGCGCCGATCAGCTATTATTCTCTATACGTCTATATCTCTCCATGATTTCTCGAAAGCTCTTTTTTAGGACCTGATTGCATAACGTTTCGCGTGTTATTTTACGGATCCAATAGGTCTGCATTATTTATAATAGAAAAATCAAGATAATCCGTATCGATCCGAGCTTGCCTTTCCATCGCTGCCAATCGGCTAACGGAGCGCAGGCACGTTCGACCTGAACGACGTGCGCCATGAGGATGCACGTAAGTGCATTTTATCATAGCTCCCGGCTACAGTGCATGCACCTTTCACTAGCGGAAGTGAACAGCTGAGAGGCAGACGCGTGAGAGCGACCCAGGTCATTATTCACTCGTTACGGGCGACCGCTTCGTGCGAGCTGAAGCATCGCGAAACGCACGCTTGAGTCGGTTGTCGACCGACCGTTAAGTTGAAGTCAAGAGTCGGCCAATTATCGATTGACTTATCACTAATGTCTGTGATGTTCTTTCGTTATTCTCTCCTTAATAGAACAACAATTTTATTGTGCGTGTATTATATTAACTATAGAAAACTTGTAGGGTGACATTATAATTTTTATTTACATTTCATTTCTTGAACTCTCTTTAATAACGCTTTAATAGTGCTTAAAAAAAATTATAAGACTTCTTGATACTCTCTCTCTCTTCGACGTTAATTTGGGAAAAATCTGCTTCTTTATTTACATTATTTATTCTTGACTTTCTCACTCGATTTAATAAACTAATTGAAAAATTTCGATTTCGATAAAAGCAGACGATGCAATTGACTTTTACTCTCTTATCAGTACATCGCTGTTGACGATCAAGTTTGTCAGCTTACTGATTGGCATCGCCATTGAGGAAGATTCGCGCGTCGACGAGGAAACTGCGATTCGCGCATTAAAAGCGGAATCTCTTCGCTATCATGCCGTGGCAATTAATCGTGCAACATGTTGGTGAATATACGGATGCGATGTACAAAGTAAAGGAACAGAGCGCGAAGAGCACGTTGCGCTTTCTCAGCGACTTATGATTGCGCAATTGCGCGAAGATGGATATACACACGCACGCGTACACACACACGCACGCATATACTGTAACGAGTTTCTCATTGATGTGATTCGAGGTTTCGTCTGTGAAAAGATGCGATTAATGGCGAAAAAAGCACTATCGCCGATTTATCGGAGGAACAAAATTATATAGGAAGTAAATCTAGACTCTCTTTTTCTCTTTCTTTCTTCTTATTTACTCTTTCTTATTCGAGTACGCTGTAACTTCGCCACGTAACTGCTACTGTCATTATCTCCGACCTTCTTTCGATATCAACCATTTATTAATGATCACGAGCAATTACCATCCCTGCTATTTTTCAATATTTCATGATGTAATAATCTAATGATTATTACCTATATCAACGATACGAATTTCGGTTCGGGCCAGTATAATCTTGGTCAGTTCAGAATTCGACGCTTTAGACAGTTTAGACAGAAGAGCATTGCAACCGTATTTATGGTATAATTGTGGCGATAGAATGTAATAATATAATGTCAATAAAATAAATGTCCCTAAAAAGGCAATTATTATTATTTTTTAAAGAAATACTTCATAATGTCATAATTTAGAAAATTTTAAAATAAAAATTGTAAAATTGTAACGTGAATTATTATCTTAAAATGAGAGTACTAACATAATATTTCACAACATTTATAGTCTATATACAATATGTATTTATCTCTTCAACTTCCGGATTACTTTGCATAAAGAAAGATGGCTCTTTTTGCATTAGAAGATAATTTAATACGGAAATTAAGCCTCCAATTGTCTAATGCTTTTATCTGCTGTCATCAACGGGTTGGGTTCGTAATTAATTCGGCGCTTGTATATCTTGACAGAAATCTCTTCACACACATGCACATGCGCGCATGTGTGTGTCTACCACAATCGCGAAGAATCTAGACCCCCCAAGACGATCTCTTCCTCTTAGTAGATGCAAGGCTGCTTTTACGCCGTTCCCTTTAATGGCAAACGAAGCCACGCTCGCTGTTAAGTTAATTCAACCGCAGTCCAAGGAGCTGATGATGTCCGCGAAACAATAGGGGTCGTATCCTCGCCCCGATTCCCTCGTCTGGTGCACAAACGTCGTTTGCAGCGATTATTAATTCCGCCACAACACGGGAAGAAGGAAGCGGCGAATTAATAATCCCAACACTGCACCGAGGGAATTGGCGTCCGTCGGTACGATGAGAGTGCCGGCTGTGTCGGTGAAACTCGAGCGTAGTCTCGGCGACCTCTGCAAAGGTCGCTCCTCTTGCTCCTCGAGGAAAGTGAGGTCTGAATAAAATGTAAATGGAAGCGGGCAATATCATAATTGCTCGGTGCAAAATCACTTGATGAACGACAATAATAAACACTTTGCACAGAAACGAAAGATGCTGGTGAACGTGAAGAGAATCGTAATTCATGCGAACCAATTAGTAAAATCTTTTGATGAAAATTCGATTCGGTATATGCATCATTAAAATTTGATGAGACACCATAAAAATTCTAGGACATTTCGCACAGTATTTCAGTAGTTTACAAACAAACTTGTATCGTTTATAGAAAATTGTGATCGCGCACTGAATACATGGAAAAAAAAAATTATTTTAATGAAAGATCTAAAATTTTACTAAGATACACTGAAAAAAAAATTGACTAAATATGTCATAGAATTTTTAATTTAATGCAGCAACCAATCTTTTCTTTCAGTGATAGATCTGAAAATAATTTTATTGGACCATCAAAATAATTTTGTTGGAAACTCAAAGTAATGAAAGCAGTGTACTGCAGAAAATGTTGATATTCTATAATAGCAACTAGTTTTATAACGACATAATTTTAGTTATTTTCTATAAACGATACTTTATCTGTAGTGTGCTATTGCCTTTATAATAAATATCTTTATGTACTAACTTATGATTCGAAAACAGTTATGACAAATTACAACAATTTTTGTGCTCAGATTCTGAAACGTTCGATCAAAGTGATTTGAATTACATTAAAAGTTTTGACCGAAGACTTTGATGAAACTAGACGCAATTTTGTCGGGAGATTAGTTTAGAAACGCGAACGACCGCAGGCGATGACATTATTACGCTATCAAGTAGTTGCTCAATCGTTAAGTAAACGCGCATCTTGAATCTTCAAATTGATGTAACGAAAATCACCGACCATTTGATTCAATTTTATCCTTAAATACGACGTACTGGAAAATTTCATAAAACGTTCTGTCCGCACATTGTATACGTATTTCATGCTGCTTCGTATAACATATAGATAAAATGTTGTAAAATCCCAGTTACTTTTTACAGCTATCTCTACAAATCTTTGCTAGAAATTAGCTATTTTGCTAGAAAAACGTACGATAGAATGGATTTGAAGACTAATAATGTTTTAGCATTTAATAAAAATAAACACAAAAATATTAAAGAAAACGAAAATAGAAAATGATGTATCTATAATAATATAATTTTAAGAAATCGA